TACCTTCTCTACTTTCTTCTCTCTAGGATACTGATTTTAATTCATTAGGTATGAGTAATGTGACTTGCTGAGCACACAATGTTTTTTTTTTTTTTAGCGCACCCTCTTTTCTTTTCGCCCAACCCTTTCTGCATTATATGGATAAAAATAGCACTCGCCCTTTTATCTGCCCTCATTGCTCGGGAGTGGTTAAAGTGGGTGCCCCATAATTTGTGGAAATGTGCGTCTCATTTCTGTTCCAAGGAAAATTGCAAAGTGTTTTTGTTTTTTTTTGGGAAACATCAGGAATCTAATTGGAAAAATCCGAAACAAACAAACCACAGGAAAAGGGCTGAAAGTTAGGAGAAGGAGATGCAAGTTGACATCTATTGCCAGCAGCTCCTTTTGGATTAGGGAACAAACAAGCACAACAAAATGTTTGTAATGCTTGTAATGAAGCGTGGGCAAACCAGAGCACAGCGACCGAGTGTTTCCACTAACGCTGACAAAAGGAGGAAACAAAGCCTGGGTGTGCGCCTCAGACTCAAAAGACTCGGGGTGTGCACTTCCAAACAGGTGAAAAGGAGTCTACCCTCTCTGTTCAGTTCTTTTCTTTGCTCTGAAGTCGGGCGTCGGCGCTCGTGGCATCAAACGTCGCACGTTCAGAAATGTTTGAGAAATATTACTACGCTCCACGTTCAGGATTCACTCAGCAACTGTGTAAAGAATAGCACATTGCCCTATTTTCCTACTTTTCCGCTAAACGAATTGCAGCTTTGTCCTTAAAATATATTTGATGGAAAAATAGGTCACCAATGCTACAGCCGTCAGGCAGTTTGGTTTGACTTTTACATGTTTTTTTTTCTTGGATAAACAATTTCTTTATGTTGATTTTTCCATGTGTGGCTGTTTTCAGTTTCACATCCCTGAGAGAAGAGATAAAGCTCTTATTAAGCTGCCAGAAAATCAGGAGAAACATGTATAAAAGACATTTGTTTGGCTTGCCTTTCAGAGCACGTCACATGTCATATTAACACTGATCAAACTGTATGTGCGTCTAAACAGCTGATGGTGGCCTTCTCGTACAACCGGCTGCTGGAACCTGCTGTAGAGGAAGAAACGGACAATTCAGAAAACTGTGATCAGAGCTGCGGGCTGACGACAGAGGATGAGTGATCGCGGAAGGTACAGTATGGATTTATTTATATAACAAACATAATGTATGTAGCACAGGTTGACCATCTTAACTGCTGCCGTGACATAAATGTTCATAATAAATTGAATAATGTTTTTTTTTTTGCACTTAATTATTTTCAAAATATTGAATTAATGTCCAATCACTAATTTATGGACATTATTATTATTGTTTTTTGGCAGCTTTCAGTTTACTAGCTTTCAATCCTGTGATCTAGAACAGTGGTTCTCAAACTGGGGGTTGGGACCCCTATGGGGGTCCCAAGATCATTTCAGGGGGTCGCTAGATCATTATAAAATAAATTAAAATAAAATAAAGCCTACACTTACCAAATAAATTTGTATTAAGGCTGTCAAAATTAAAAGTGTCGAACTTGTTAATATTATGATTTGATTATGTGATATTATTATTCTTTTTTTGCTCTTTTTAAAATTATTCTCCTTTGTTTTTTTTCCCTTTCATTTGTTCGAAATAAATTCAATTCATTCATTTAGAATAAAATGAACGTGTTAATGTAAAGAGATTAATCTGTGGAATTAACACATTAATTTTTACCGCATTAATGCATGAACAACAAAGTTATTACTCATGATATATTAAAAAAATCAAATTGAGGTGTCACAACACCAACTTTTGTTATCTTGGGGGTCTTGGGGATCTGAACCACTGATCTAGAAGGTGCAGTCGTCCTCAAGTGTATTCAGACTCTTCCATTAAATAAAAGGCAAAATTCACAACAGTCACTCAAATGACTAGAAAATGAAAAAAGTAGCAATAAATTAAAATTTGCTAAATTATAATTCAGTGAAATAAGACATTGCTTTGGAATTGTGGTTGAAAATAATAGTTGGGAAAAAAAAACTGTCCCAGACAAATTAAAGCACTTTGCTGATGAGCAGTGGCCAAAATCAAAATATATTTCTGTTGAACCACAATTCAAAAGCAGTGTCATGATCTTCACTACGTTTTTATTACTTATTACTTTTGTCACCTTATTTCAGTGACAGCTGTTTGTTTCCTTCCTTAATGGGAGGGTATGAATACATTTAAGGACGACTGCACATGACCCTCTTCCTTCTCTTACTTCCCCACAGCGGGAGCTCCCTCGTCCAGCCCGTCCAGAGTCTGGCTGTCTGCAGTGGGATCAGCAGCCTACAGGGTGATAAAGGCACACTAACAGCCTGGACCCGTCAGAGGTTGGTCAAAGGACTGATAGAGTGTGTACGATGTATTTCCTATGGAAATATAGAATCCTGCTGACAACACATGTCCAAGCGTCGGATGAAAAATGTTCCCTGAAGGTTCATTGCACCTTCTGCCTGTGTTTCAGCACATGCAGCATAAAACTATTAAATCCCTGAACATGCTACGTGGTTGTGGATTTAACTCACTTCTTTCCTTCTGCTTTGGGAGAAAAACACGAGATGCTTAGCCTTGACACCGACACGTCAAGTGTTTAGAACTGGGCTGATACAAATCTTTTTGTCTGGAAGGGTTGTTTTTCACAGATTCTTTGTTCTCTAAAGTCAAATGTTTGACCAAAACTTTGATTTGTATCAAAAGGTTTGAAACGACCTTTCGATCCACCTCTTTATTCACTTTCATTTCGTCTACATCTGATTTAATGAATTTTCTCCCCGAACAAAGAGAAATATTTGCAAAGATCGTATGTTTCACTTTCTTTGCAAGTCATATTTATCCATCTAAATATTAAATTATGAACTTTGTAAATGAATGTCGTCTCTGCTGTTGAGTCAGTGTGTGGCGTCAAAAACAACATTGAAATGTGAGTTTGTTGTACTGAAGCACTGAAAATGCAGTTACAACAGCATATTCATGTCAGCAATAAAGTTCTCAAGGAATCACATATACTGGGTTGTTTTTAGTGCGACGGTTATGCAAATGAACTCTACAGATCTTAAAATTCAGTGAAACTATGCAGACATGTGACAAACCTGAAGTCGAGGTGAACGTTCTGATTCATCTCGTGTTCAGGCCGGTGAATGATGAATGTTTTTCTGCTTTGGAAAGGGCAGTGACCTTTTTAATTTAAAATGTAATGCATGTTTCCAACACCGGTGGGCGCTCTTAGTCTTTGTTCTGAAGTCCGTGGGCCTCGGTGCTACTGAGTCCAGTCAAATACATCTGGGGAAAATCAGCTGTGGTGCACAAAAAGTCGTAGTTGTTTCAGAAGGCAGTGCTGAAATTAATCTCAGAATTTAAAACAAACAAACAAAAAAAACATATTTAACTTTTTTCTTTCTTTCTTTTTAACTACTGGGTTTAGACTGTGTTGTATGTTTTTGGTATTTGTTCAGGTTTTATCCCGTTAAACAGCCAAAACCCAAAACATCAACTTATTTATTCTGCATTTATTTATTGCATATTTTTTGAGAACCAAACTTTTACATGAACTTATTTTGTATTTTTTTGTGTCTAAACATAAAAGACATAAACTTCCTCTTTACCTCATTGGCTTGTGTTTCATTGTTCTCTCAGAAAGCAACTGGAGTGTGTGTGTAAGTGTGTGTGTGCACAGCAATGATGGGACCAAAGCAAAAAGTACTGCTGCAATAATGCTCATTTATAATTAAAATATATGGTAAAATTGAATGTTTATTAGATTTCATGCTTTTCAGCAGTGGGCATGTTTATCACATTGGAGGCCGACCAACTGAAACAAATCAACCGACCTCTGAAACATTTATTACCAATGTATTTAAAGCCAACTAATAACAATGGTTTTTAGGGAAATACTGGTGGTAACTATAAGCTTAAAGTCCTGTTAAAAAAATAAAATAAACTCTATAAGAAGAAAAATATTCCTTTAACCGTTCGATGCAGTAATGTTAGACATTATTGTGGAATGAGGTTAAAAATGCATAAATAATATTTAAATGCTTTAAATTAATTTAATTCGTCATTTAAGTTTTTTGTAAATGTAATTTTGTGAGTAAACAATTATCTAATTTAAAAAAGGCTTTCTGGAGTTTATTCAGTCATCACATAAAATCCTACATCCTGTACTAATGTGGAAAATATTACTGCCATTCAAATATAATGATAATAATAATAACAACACCAATCAGTTAGAATTTACCATTTTAATTAATTTTGTTTTGCATAAAAAAATAAAAATAAAAAGAACCAAATCTTGGATAACATCTTAAAACTTAAAGCTTTACTTGCCACAACATTTAATGCACAGACGAATAGTGATTTTACCACTGACACATTATGAGCAATCTCATATTAATGTTGTTTAAATAAAATATCGAATAGTAATATTGTAATAATATTGAAATTATAGTCCAAAATTGAAATGTAAAATTTGGGACAATCAACTGGCAAAGTAGAGTTATATAAATAAAATTAAATTTAAATTAAAGGACATTTAAAGAACATAAAAATTCAGTTAAAATGTTGTTAATGTTTTCCTTCATTAATTTAAATGTATTTTTTCCCCTTTTGTCGCCATATTAGGAGTATTATACCATAAAATGTGCAACATGTAAAAAAATTTAAATTCTATATTTTAGCACAGATTTTGTCTCACAGCCAGATTTTCCAAATAAAATGCGGCAGTTCATAAAAACCGTCAGCCTTTAGCTGCTGATGATACTTCGTAATGACTTGTATGTATAAACGAACGTCTCGCCAATAACGAGATTCCGTTACATCAACCAACAGCCTTTTTTTTTTCCTCTGATACATTCCAGACCAGGTCAGATCATTTTTTTAAGGCTCATACTGAGTGGATTCTGCCCCGCTGGGGGTCGCTGTGACCCAACCAGAACCGACGTCGTAGCCGTTTCCCGCTGATGACGACACATCGTCTGCCCGGTGACGCGTTGGCGAGGGGGCGTGGCCTCCGCCGTGAACTTCAGTTGAACCCGTTTTGCAGCGGGGGCGGGGCCGGCTCGCGAATGTTACGACACAGCGTCGGTAACAGAGATATTTTGGGTTTTTGCTGCTTCTTTTTTTTTTTTTTTTTTTTCCCCCTCGACTCGGTCCCCTCACCCATCACACACAGCGGGCCTGCAGCGCCGGTCTGACCGAACAGCGACCCCGCGTATCAGGGTCAGAAGTGTAGAACACGTCATGTGTCATATCAACAATTGTCGGGATAAATTTGGCAAAAATGGCTCCTCCCTTTTTCCGCACCAATCAGAGACGCGCAACCAAATTCAGCCACGATGACGGACGTGAACTTTGGGTGAACTCTGCTTTTCCCTCGGCTCGATAGGGCAACGAGGCCAACGGGAGTTTAGTAGGACTTTAATGTTGTTGTTTTTTTTTATTTTGTCAATCTCGTTTTCTAGGACGGATCACCGATTGACCCCTCGCACACTGGCCCGGGATGCTGGAGCGACTCTGTGGGACTTTGCAGCTTAACCTAACATCCATATTTAACACGCGGCTACCGTTTTTCCCCGACACATCTCCTCTTTCTTATCCTTTCACGTGCACTTTACGACGCTCGGTGTTTCAAGAGTAACACATTCGGCGTGACTTTTCTGTTGAGACGGGTAATAAATGGAGAGAAGTCAAACTTGGCCATTTGAGCTGCCAGGTGCATTAAATATTTAGCGTGTGCACTAGTGTCACGGATTTCTAATGTTCGTGCAAAGACACACACAAAAAAAAAAAACCTGTTAAAGTCAAATCAAAATGGTGGCAGCGACAGAAACCTGTGAAAGTCTCTGAGTGTCCCTGCAGGGACGGCACTCGGATCCTGTGTTAATAAAACATGTGTCGAGGTGCAAACGCTTATGTGGGGGGAAAAGAAATGGTGAAAGCGGAGTGATGGAGGTGCCGCAAGAAAGAGTTAAATCCAAGATGCTCTCGTGCAAAAGTTCGACTTTACCCTAGTTTTTTCTTTCTAGTTTAAAAGGTCGTGCGAAGAGGCTGCGCTTGCTGTAAGAAAATAAACTCTTACAGAAGACTGAGCTCAGGGGTGTTTTTTAGTCTTCATTGGTCCTATCAGGAAAGTTGTGTAATGCCTCTTCTAACTGAACGAATAATTAAAACAGCCTATAGCCGGGGCACCCAGGGGTGTGTTGTGCAAGTTAGCCAGCTGCTATTGCACAGAGTTCTGTCTTGCCAAATGGGTCACGCTTCAGTCAGCGCTGGAAAGTTTTTTATTCCAACAACCTCCTCTGCCCTCTCTTTGATCCTAAAACATCATACACTTACTGTGGATTTGTCATTCCTGCCGTCTGCTTGACCTTTGGCATCGCACTAATCCTGACCTGCGGATACGTACGTTTTACACCTTCTGCGGAATCTTTGATTCAGGAAGTGTTCGTGGAAGTCCGGGATTGAATGCTGATTCCACCTCGGCGATGCGGCGCTGTTCTGTTTCTATGATGCATGTCATTAAATCTGGAGTCCCTGCGTACACATTTTAATTGTAGATTTAGTGTTTTTTTTTAAGACGGGGCTGCTCTGGAGGCAAATAAATGAGCTAATTTGTTGAGGGGAGACACTGAACAGAGCTGTAAAGGTATTTTTCTGAGGCCCAGAAATGAATAAGACAGGATAAAGTTGGAGCAATTAAATTATAGAAAGCTGGCTTACATCATTTCAAAGGTTATCATCTTTTAGGATTTAATTCCTTCAAGAAACTGTCTCAAAATCGCCCCACATTTTTATCTCAAACTTTTCCCCCGAGTCCTGTGCTGCTATTTAATTGTCCTCTGACCACAACTGCCCCCCTCTCCACCCTTCTACCTCCGCCCTCATGCGTCCCCTCTGCTCTCAGTAGAGAGAGATTACCAGCCCATCTGTATCACCAGAGCCGGGCCACGCTAAGCCCCGCTCAGCAAGGCACCGCCGCAATTGTTAACCCTGATTAACTTGATGTGGCGTTCAGTAGAGGGAACAGTGTGAAAATCAAGCCAGTGCCGTGACCCAGTGCCCTGCCGCTGAACCGAGGGGATATTGGGTAAACTTAGGGGAGGGTGGGTGAGAACCAGGAGCCGGGAAAAAAAAAAAAAAAAGAGGAGCGAAAACGGCATCAGAGATTAAAATGATTCTGAGCTTCCAACCGGAGATCTCAGGAAGGAATACAAACATAAATATCCATCTCTTGTTGTTTTGTTTTCGAGCGCTCGGGCGTCGGTTACAGACTCTGGCAGTAAATTGGTATGACTCTCCGTGCCCCTCTGATGGACTTCTGCGGAGCCGCCGAGTGCAACAGAAGACATTAAAGATTCAGTTATGAGCAAACGTAACGAGATTATTACCGCACAGAGAAGTCGGTGCAGATGTTTGCTGCGTAGCATGAACTGGGGCGTAGTTTAAACACGGGGAACATATGGAAATACCGTTAACTTTTCTCCATAAATTAGTTGATTCGCGTCTTCCCCCTCGAGGCACAACAGAGCCGACTTCTCACATAGGGGCAGATCACAGCTCTCTATAGTCATCCTCTGTTTAGCGTATTTGTATATACAGCATGAAATAATTAAACGCAATGAGATTTCTTGTCAGATTGCATTTGAAGCTTTTACATTAGACTTTGGATGTAATGATTCTGATTTAGTCGTGGGTAATATGTGCTTTTCAGTCCAGTAGCTTTTGCAGATTATTCATAAACAAGTTTTTTTTACTTATTTGTACATCAGGATGCTTTTGCAGTTTTGTCGAGTTGCACCACTGCAGATGCAAATCCAACAGCAGCCTAAGAGGAGCCTATTCTGAGGCTTTATGTATATATTTTTAATGCAGGTTTTTCCAATTAAACCAGAGCTTGTTTGGCAAAAGTGACACTGACAGCAGAATGAAGGGTTTTAATTTGAAGTTATGTTAGATTTGCATTAATATTAAAACGGCTTTCATCGCTTTGTGCTGGAATATTCATAGAAAACCTATAAATAATATAAATGCCGAAGGGATAAACAACAAAAACACAAGCTTGAAATGAATAAGACATTTAGTTTTATTGTGTAAAAACCAGAGGTGGTGGTGGAGTGAGGGGGGGGATGCTGGTCTGGATTAGGGTCCTTTTTGTGTACTTGCAATGACGACCCCAAACAAATGCAGCGATAATGACATGTTGAACCCTGTAACAACCCCAACAACCTTCCCCCTCCACCACACACACACACAGCAGCTCTCTACTCTTTCTCCTTTGACCTAATAATTAAGCTGCTTTTGGCGTTATAAGTTGAGAAGCAGCTTTGCCAACCTGCAGTTACAAATCTCTCTCAATTGCTTTGTGGAGGCCGCCACCATCTT